TGTAATGGATCTATTGTTTGCGTTTCCTCCAGTTTTCCTTCATGGGGTCTTCTGTAGGTTCCACAGAGCAAAGCCATTGTTGTGACCATCATTTTCACCTGGACAGATGGATCTGCTTTTGTGCTAATAGCTCTCCAAAGGCACACTGTTAACCAGATTTCATGTACCGTATCTCGTCTCTCAGAAGGCTGTTGTACAGTGAGAAGAAATAGCCATAAATTTCATTATCTTCCAAGCAAAATGCAAACCTCACTTCTTTGATCAAGATATCCATCAGTAATACTAGATTTAAAAGGATGAAAAATGCAACATGAATTAAGCCCAGTTCTTATTGGGAAGAAAGATTGTGCACAGAGATCCACTCCATAATTATGGAAGGTGCTCAGATGTTGCATTTATGACAGTTGCATAAAATACTATATAGATAAATAAGGCTGAAAAGGGATCTTTGATGCCTTTTAGAAGACACAAAGTAGTGAAAATTAGTACCTTGTGCTTTAGGCACCTTTCACTTGAGGATCTCAAAGCTCCTTAGCAGAGCAGTGAATGGGATTTGTGAATGGGATTATATAATGGGGTTGCCTGCAATGCTGCCTGTATGATGAGTGTTTGGACAGCCAACCAGGAGATATTTAGGGGCTGCCAGCTGATTAGCAGAGTGCCCACAGCCGATAGCATGTGTTTCTATTGGTGGCACACTTCTGCACATACCTTGGTGTACATACAATTTATTCTGGACATGGATGAGGAAAAAACGAGGGAAAATTGGTTGCTTGCAATATGTAATGACCCAGGAGATCCTTTCCAGTTCCATATCCTAAGATCCTCCCTGAAGATAAGATGCCACTGGTGTGGGAAAGGTCAAGCCACCAAATTAATGGTTTCTGCTCTATTAATCCGTACTTTCCTAAAGCTTGTAAGAAGTGATCTTTACTCCATTAGAGAAAATGAAACCTGTTCTTTGTATGTTGGCATGAAACAAGGGCCACTTCCTGTTCCCTTTATCTCATCCTTCACTTTCTCCAAGAGGATCTTGACAAAGTCCTTGCTGTCAGCACCTTTTGTGTCCAGATCCCTTTATTCACTGCTGTCAAAGAGAACACCATTGAGCCTTATCTGATTGGGGCCTTATGCTAATATGAGACTTCCTTCAACTTTGTGTAAATAAGCCTGTTTTGTACCCATTTGGAGTCTGAATTTATTCCTCTCATCTTGAAGCCGTGGAAGCATCTGAGTTTTCTGTTGGGTTTTTTTTGTCATTTTTCTAGAGCCTATATTTCCATAAAAGGGATCAGAAAATTGGCAGTTGTCTCTTTTATTTCCTCTCCTTTGTTGTCTTTCCACAACAATAAAATGATAGAGGGAACATCTTGGTACTAAGTCAGGAGCTGGTTTATGTGGCAGCCTCTGAACACTATGGCCTTGAGGTTCTATCTGGAAATAATTAGAGGAACAGAAATCTGTAAATAGTTATTCTATGTGACAGAATCAAGGCCTCTAAAAATAAGTTTGGCCCAATGGATTAAAACCTGTAGATCAAATATTCATCTGCTCCCCAGAGCACTCACCTACAGCAGAATAAAAATTCAAAGGTGCAATGTGATGCTCCTTCATTTCTCTTAACATAAATGCCAAAGCAGAAGGGGCTTTCAGTGCTGAGAGCAGTTGTTTTTGTGTCATTATCCTTCATTCTTGCCTGGTATGTCTGAGAATTGAAACAATATGATTTTACATCCTAATGTTTATGCATCTCAGAAACACCAGTCTACAACAGGGATTCTCAAACTTTGCCACAGTGAACATCCCTCAGCTTAGGGAGAGAAAAAATTGCACCTCCCCATGTAGCAATATATAAAGAGCTGAAAATCCTATACTTTGCAAGAATATGAATAATATTGTAGAAGAGTTTGCTCAATATAATTAAAATGTGCTGTGGGTATCAAAAGCACTAATTTTATTGCATAAATTATCTTTCTCGGTGCTATCTCAGTAGTTTCAAAAGATTGCAAACTGTGGCAGCTAAAATAAAACTGCACAAACATTTTAGGAAATCATAACACCATTGATCGTAATCTTCCCCAGCATCCTCTGGGCTCATGGGTCTTTGGCTTATGGGCAGGGAACATGGTCCCCCATTTAATCTAGGTAGCGGGATCCTTGGATGGTCAGATCATGGCAATCAGATGTACTCCAGTACTGTGAATTCCGCATAAGTCTGGTGCAGCAGGAAGTTCATCAGAGTACTTACCTGATAGCTGGGACTGAGCTGGGTTGCTGTTGGCAAGAACAAGGTGGTTACTGTCTAGATGCACTGGTGTCTTTGGGAAGGTGGTGTATCACCTCAGGCAGTAACCAGGCAGGGTCCTGGCTCCCCACTGCCACACAGATTCACTCCATGCCCATGGTGGCTTATCACTGTTGCAAGCAGTGAAGCTCCAACACCAGGGATGGAAAGGAAGACAGTGCCGAATAGGTTCTGCATAGCTAAGAGCCCTCTTTGAACAAGAGCTGCTGCCATAATACAGACACCAGCTGGAGATGACAGCTGCAGCAGATCAGAATGAGAATCCTTTTGCTAAGCCCAATTCATCCAGCATCACAAGCCAGGGATGAGCAGCAGCTTGGTAGCAAATGGAGGAGATATTACAAGGCTAAGACAGGGGACAAGCGGAGCCCTGGGTATATTGCACAACTGAGCTAGTTGAATGAGCATAGAAGAGAGCCCTGGGGATACTGCAGGGGTGCGTCAGTCAAAGAGGAGAGTCCTGGGAGATGGAGGAGCCTTAGCTGAGCTGGTGAGCAGAGCATAGGAGGAAGATAGGGGGAGGGTATGGGACGCCTTGTGTTATTGCAGGAAAGGTGGGGAATCAGGGGAATCTCTGTGTTGCTGCAGGCAGGGATAAGTTGGGAGTGGCACAGGGGAGCCCCTGCAAGCTGCTTCCCTGGTGTCCTTTAGAAATGTATAACTGTAATCGTTTAACTTAAAAGCTGATGCTTATAGGTTTCTGTTAATAGTTAAACGCTTCTTGAGTCTTGCCTACTGGATCTGTGCCCAGGATTCTTCCTTGTGCCCGGCCTAGTATCTGAGGCTCTGCTGCCATCACACCTTGAAGTCCTGATGTTGCCTACCATCCTGGAACCTCAAGGTCTCTCCAGGCTGTCAGCCCTGCTCCTCGGTGGCATCCCAGAAGTGGGGCCAGCAGTTGGGAACCCGTGCATGCTGGGATTCCTGCCAGTAGCAGAACCAAAGGCATGAGACAGCAGCCAGAACCCTGGGTGCAGGGGCATCCTCCAGCATCTTTCCCCTGTATTCCCAGATAAACATTTAACCGTGTAATTGACAGAATTTTTGATCATTACATGGTATTGGTATTATACAGTTTTTATATCCCTAGTGTCCACACACCTTTGACTGGCTCTTGTCCCAGCACTTCCCTCTGGATGGAGCTCTTGTTCTTTCTGCCCTGCCCCCAGGCAGAACAGAGCTCTGGTTCTGCTCAGAGTGTGCTTAACTCCTAGCCAAAAGGCAGGCAACCCCTGTGCCTTATTGTTTTAGAACTTCTGGTGTACAGGGACCTTCCCTAGTGCTGCTAATGCCTTTTCCTTTATTATTGTAACACTAGGTCAGGGGTCGGCAACATACAGCATGCTTGCCATAAGTGGCATGCAAGATGATTTTCAGCGGCACACACAATGAACAGGCTCCCCCTCACTCCCTCTAACCCACAATGGGGAGCCTGTGCTAGCAAAGCTAGCTTCCTGGAGTGGGAAGCCGAGGCTTCACACCGGATCCAACTTGTGGAGAAATGCGTGTGTGCTGCTCTACCTTTTCCCACAGGGAAAGCCAGAATGGAGCCTAGGAAAGGAGACCAAGTGGTGGAGAGAGCGGCACAGTCCAGGGCAAGAGGGTTAAATCTTGGCACGCCAATTCAGAAAGGTTGCCAACCCCTGCACTAGGTAGTTAGTGTTTAGTGTTCACGTTTAGCAATAGTTGGAAGTTTTCACCTACCTCCAGACTCTCCTTCTGGTTTAGCTTCATGGTAAGTCTAAATCATTGCACAATGTATGTAAAGTACAGTTTAAACTTATTTCCCAACCATAGCTGATGTAGAGTTTTTCCCTGTAAAGCTTCTTTGTTGCAAACTTGAGTTTCTTCTGCTCCTAGAGGGCTCAGCTCTTCTTAATCCTAATCAAATCCACCTGTTAGTATATTTCAGTGGTAATTATGCTGTACCTTCATGAATAGTTTAAACACCTGATAAGACAGTAATTCAGTTAAATGGCTCTGCATCTCTAGGCATTGTCATAAAGTCTGTCAATCTATTACAAGAGGTTCATTATCATTGTTTTCTTATTACTTTTTAACCATTGACTAGACAGAAATGGTAAAGAAGCTTCAGTAGGGGGTCCAAGAGACAGGACAGGAGTAAAACTTTTGTTTTTGTTTGGCACTTGTATGGTGTGAACAGATGACTGTGAATTCCTCACTGTGGTAGAAGATAGAAATTCTCATTCATATTTTTAATATATCAAATTACCTTGAATGCGTCAACATTTTGAAATATAACTGTATTTTTGTGACATAATTTGAGTTATAGTTATCAATAAATTTTTGAAGACTGAAAATTTTAAGAATGAAAGGTAATTTCAAACTGTCATTGAGAAGTTCAGATAATTCTACAATAACAGTTGCTAATGCTTGCCAGAACAATAATGTATATAGCTTAATGCTTGTCCTGTGGTTTTTAGAAGAGAACAAAGATTAATACAAAAAAGTAAGGAAAGACTATATATTTGCTTCTTTGCAAATTGTTCTTTAGAGTTTGGGTAATTGAAAGTTTTGGAATTTAGATTGTAATTTAACAGGGCAGAGTAAGAGAAATTAAATGGCTTTTTCAGGGTGGTTATAATAAATGAAGGTTAGAATATTTCTGCTTTGGTTTAGGACTACCTTTAATTGTTCACTTTTATATATGGAAAATGTTCTCCTTCCTCCTTAGCCTTAGATTGTAAGCAAAAAAAGTCAAGATCGAGATCTGGAAGCAAGAAAAAATTGCTGCCATTACCTCATAGTGCTGATGAAGTTTACATTCTCCGATGCAGGTACGCGCAGTGTTTTTATAATTGATTAATTTAAATTAGTGTCTGGATTGTTTTAATAAAAATTTATAAATAGTTGCTATTACATAAGAATATTTTGTAACTGGATTTGATCTTAAAATCAATGTTGAGCAAAAAAAACTAAGTTAAATATTACAGTAACATAAACAAAATAAAACATAAAATAGTATTTTATTTTGAACAGATTTTTTTTCCCCCTCTCCTGGATTAAAATGTGTTTTCTGTGTTTCCTATTTTGGCAATGTTCTTCCCCTACAGAAAACAACAAAAGCCTGTTAATGGAAATGGGCCATTATCTATAGCATTACAAATGTGAAGGTATAATTTATTGTATAAACTTAATCTTATGTTTATATGTTTGAAACAGTTATTGAGTATTGTTGAACTAACCATGAAACCATTAGAATTTTATTAAGATGAGCTTTTAAGAGAAAAATGTACTGTCTGTAGAATTGTTTACCCTTAGCAATGTCTGCTGACTTGTGCTCTATTTCATAAATATATCTTCTTGATGGCATGATTTTAAAATTTGCACAGGTTTTGTGGTCTGGTCTTTCGAGGACCATTGTCTGTTCAGGAAGACTGGATAAAGCACTTGCAGAGACACATCGTCAATGCAAATCTTCCACGGACTGGGGCTGGCATGGTTGAAGTCACATCACTACTTAAAAAGCCTGCTTCAATTACTGAAACTTCATTTTCTTTACTGATGGCAGAAGCAGCATCATAGAACAATGAAACATTTTAAATTTGAATTGGATGTAAATTTAAAATACTTTGTCATTTTTTTAAAAAATATTGCTACACTATACAGGAACATCAAAACAAATTGAGTACTTAACAGTTACAGTAAGTAGTCTTTATATTTTATATAAGGTGAGAGATGTGTTTTTAAGGTTTACTATGTTTTTGTCAGTTACTGTGTTCACTATCAATACAAAATCATTACATGTAAGCAGCCATTTTTAAATTGTTGCACATGGGTACTTAGATTTTATTAATAACAAATCATGCCCTCTGCAGTGTTACCAGAATCAAGGCTTTGTTTATTTGAAAAAAAACCCCACAAAAACACTTGCATAGTAAAATAAGATATATTTTGTTTGTATGTATGTAGTGTTTTGTATAATACAAGAACCGCTAATACAACTTACTCAACTTAGGGCATTAAATATCATGTACTTCATAGTTCAAGAAACTGTTTCATTCAAATAGGGCAATTAGTACTATTCTTATCTATGTGTGTACGTGTTTTGTTTTGTTTTGTTTTTAATTACATGAGGCTTTTTGTACTAAAAAGTGGAGGGAAACTTGTTTAAACAAATATTTGTAAGAGAAATATGTACATAGTACTGGAAATTATTTGTGGTAAGAAAGTATTCTTTACTTCAGTTGCATTTCTCACTGACAATAATGTGGTGCATCCATGCTACCTCCTACTTTGTCAACAAAGATGGTATTTACCCTTTACATTTTGTATCATAGTAGATTCAGATCTAACTTTCTTTATTGCAAAGCATTTTTTGTTAAAGTTTGTTTCCTTACGATGTTTTACTTAGTCTCACATGCTCACAGAACAGTTTGCCTCTACTACTTTATTTAACACCGTAGAAATGTACTAATAAGAATTGCTCACTACACGGTTTAGGACTAGAATTTTCATTTATAATTCTGTTTAAAATATTTTGATCATTTTAACAAATTTGAACACAGATTGAAATGTTTCTACATATGAAGAGAATGTTTACAATTTAAATTTTAGAACTTCTTTTGGATGTGATTATATGTATGAAAACTGTGTAACACTATGCTCATGCTAAGGACCTACTTACAGAATTACTGAAATAAATGTGCTGTGAGGATGGAATATATGGTGCAGGTGTCTTGATCATGATTAATTGTGTTTATTCATTTAAAATTGTCATCCAAACGTGATTTAATTTCTTAATCAGTAAATCAGATTCCTTTGCAAATCAGTTTTGTATGCAAGTAACATTTTATTCATGTAGGGTAACTAAAACTGTAGTTAAATCAAGAATATGCATTGATATTTTCTTTATATGTAAATAAAGTTAAAAGCAGTTAAAACCAAGAGTATTTTGGTAGAGTATATACATACCTCACTGCCAGTGAAATTGCTTTCCTATGGTATATCTCTTTACCAGAAAAATCTCTAAATAAAAAGGTTTAAAGAAAATCTAAATGTCTCTATAATGTGAAGCATTTCTTATTTGTATTATGTATGAAGTAACAGTTCATGAGAAGTTGATTTGTCTTGCTTGAGATTAGAATCTTCTCGTTAGTGAGTCAGAGTGGAATACATTTACTCACAACGTAATGTGGTTTGTACACAAGATGCATAATATCTGATTGGTGTAAATGTCAGGATTTTTTTTATATAAAATTGAAATAATATCTATACTAGGGCTTGCTAATACCTTGCAAAAGTAGTGTTTGTATGTCTAGGCTAATGTAATTAAAGAGGCATTGTAATGTATTCTTTATGTAACTCCTGTGGATAACTTGAAGTTTTAACATGTCCAATTATATTGTTACCTTTCTGAATCAAAAATATACTTCAAAATATTTATAGAATTTTTGGCTGCGGGAAAAAAAAATTAAAATAGGGTAAATGAAATATGTCTGGGTAGTACAAAAATATCCTACTATAATGTTATAGGGCTTCTCTTGTTGTTTAGAAAGAATGCTGCCTCCTGGTACTTTCAGCAATACACCTGAGCATTTCTTTACAGATTTTTGGTTTGATATACTAAAACTGAATCTTGGTTTTTTTAATCTATCATAAAACTAAGGTGTTTTTTTTATGATTTAGGAACTGATCCTACATTGTATAGCACACAGGTGCACTGCTGTGCCCATGCAGAGCTCCAGCTACATCAGTTGGGCTTTGCTTGAGTGCTGCAGTACACCCACACACTAGACAGTGTGGTACCAGAGCCTTACTCTGTCTGCATAGGAATGGTATTTTATTATGGATACTGAAAAATAACTAGGTCTTTGCAAGCAACCTCTGGGATTTTGAGCTCTTATGATAGAAAACTTGCTTTGTAAGTGAAGCTGGAGGATTAGAAAAAACTTTCATGAGAAAGTTATGTAAATTAGATAAGTGACATTGCTTTAAAAGTTCATAATGTTTTATTAGAATATTTTTTCTTTTCACAACTATATTCTATGCTGTTTAGCTAATGATAAACTCGGTGAAGATACACTGATATTTATCTAACATTGCTGAATACTCTGATAGTTAAAACCATACCCCACAGAATTTAACAGTAGTAGAAAAATCTAACAACAAAATAAATAACTTTAATTCATGCAAACCATGTAGTGTGTAATATTGCTGAGTGAATCCATTTTGTGACATCTTCATTTGTAAAGTCAAGTTTGTAGAGCATATGGATCTAATTCTATAATCTGTGAAGGAGGAATTCTGCGACTTCTAGGATCAGGCCTTAAATTTTGAGAAAATTGATTGCTTTTAATGGCTAGAATTCAGCGTAGTGTGAGCCAGAGGTGCACAATGTTTCAAATATACCCTCACTGTTACTCCGTATCTGTCTTAAAATATGACATCCTGCTATGCTTGTCTTGAATTCCTGCCAATATTTTTTTAAATATAGGCCAACCGTAGCATTCTTTGAATAGTTAAACTCATTGCATGTGGGTCCTACGTTGAATTTGAAATGAATTATTGAAAGGCTGCTCATTAAATTGTCTATTCCTATGTCTTTAAAATAACCCTGTTTGACCCAAGATTTTAGGATTTCTCTAGTCTCCTCGTGGAAGTGTTGCTGCGAGTCTTGATCCCCATCAGTGTTTGCTCTTAAATTCCATAAATCCCAATTTCCAGTATTATTGAGGTAATGTAAAATCTGATTGAATGGGCTTAGTTAAATCACTTAGAATTTTAAAACTGGGCATCTAATTCCATGTTTAAGCATCTGGATAAGAGGCCTGATTTTCAGAAGTGCTTTAGCATTCGCAACCTGTTCACCTCTCATTGACTTCAGTGCTTCCATTGACTCAAAGTTGCTCAGATCTTCTAAGCCCACTTTATGTAGATTCTAAAATATGGATTTTCACCCTTCATGCTGGGCCTGTTGTAGACACTTTTCCATTAGAAGCTGAATGGAGATGACGGACTTAACATAAATCATTCTACTACTTTATACGTATTTAAAGATGTTGTTTTGTGGCCAGTTTAAGTGACCATGCTCAGCCTGAACTGATAAGGCTGAATTTTGTTGTTGTTTAAAAGCGTTTATTAGACTTTTTATGTAAATATATTATATGTAAAAGAAGAATTTCAGCTTTCCATAAAGTTGGAAAGATCTGACAGGAACACCAAAGAGAGGGGTAGTGTATAGGGAGTTTTATGAAGTACAAGACAGTTTTATAGTGGATAAGAGTGGATCATTTATCATGGATGTCAAGCAATAAGGATGATCTGACTTTTATCAGAGGTGCTAGCTTTGCCATGGAAATCCATGAAATCTAGTTGCAAGTACTCAACACCTCTGAAAATCAGGCCACGCATTTTCCAAAATGTTTGTCTTTTGTTAGTCACTTTTCCTGGAGCTGACAAATGACAAAATTCTAAGGTGCAATCCTCTAAGTATAGAAATGTTGAATCTTTGGATGTTTTTTGTGTTTCAGAGGCTTTAAGCAGTGTCTTCACTAGGAAGTTGAACCATTCAGATTGCACTTACATGACCATCAGTGGTGCAGTGTCCCCACAATGGCCATGTTTCAGGCTAAAAGACTGTTGTAGTTTTACTGTCTCTTTATATTACGCTCTTCTACAGCACTGTAGTTGTACTGATCTCCCAATAACTATCCTAGTTTCTGATACAGCTCTTGCAAGCAGCTGCTTCTGGAAGATTGTGGAAGGGCCAGGAGAATTATGGGAAAAGTCAAATTTTAAAAAAGGTGTTAGAACGCATCTAAGTAAGCTGCTCTAGAGTGATGGAATGGTTCAGATAATACCTGCAGAAAGACAGGATTATATAAATACACATATCAGGCAATTACTGCTGCTTTAACTCTTTACTGAATTGCACCCAATGAACTATGACTACAAGCTTGTGGGACAGAGTAGTTGAGGTGACTTGGGATGGCCAGAACCCTGGGATGAAAAAAGAAACAGTTCTGGAACTCTTGTGCTAACTTTGTCCCAATACAGCAGTGCAAGACTTCTGTGGAAAAGAGTAGCGGTCATCCTGTGGAATCCTCATTGCCAGTCATCTGGAGAGAGTCAGTCTGAGGCCAGTGGTAGTCCACTGTTTTGGTTAAAACAGAATAGTGGAAGTGAAAATGTGCAAGATAAAATAGTGTAGGAATGTGTGCTTATCAAGGTATTTTAGGCAGTTGGATTTTGTGAGCTATTGATGGAAGAACCCATGTAGCCATTCAGTATGCTACCTACCATCTTCCCAACAAGTTCAGGAATACGCTTAACTGGAAGAGCTATTCTCCATTGTGGTGCAGGCCTTCTTGGGTCTTAATGAGAAGTTCGTGTATATTTACTTTGGGGGCTTGAAACATGCATAATTCCAGGATTTTCAAAACTTTGGAAGAGTGAGTAGTGTAGAATCCACCAAATTATGTTGACATTAATGGCGTTTGTAATTCCACTGTGATCTGCTGTTATCTTCCAAGGTGTGTTCATAATTAACCCCTTTCCTGCATACACAAACATATATAAAAGAAAATTCAGCTGTGCACTGAGCAGAATAGTAATGATGAATAGCGAGTATTTGCTTTTATGAACAGTTTTTGGAAACCGTAATTAGCAATTGGGATGAAATAAGGGCTGTAGTTAATAGAATTATCCACTAGACTGAGTGACCTGTTACTTGCACATCAGTTACATTCCAGAATTGTGTTTTATACCATTTTAAAGGCATTGCCTAACCAGCAGGAAAGAATATGCTTAGGGTAGTTTTTCATAGAAACTCAGATTAATTTTATGTGATTTCAGGTGTATAAGCTCAGCATGTGATGTAGATGTCATTGCCTGGCACATGGGCTAGCAAAGTCGATGTAATGGATATATTTTAGCCATAGTGCCCAATATGTAACTTCTTGCAATAAAATATTTATATGTTTTGCCTTTTAACACTGCAGTTTGTGTGACTTCTTGAAAATTTTTCCTAAGTGGTTCTCCTTTCCAAGTTCAGTCAGTGACTTGGTTCAGTTAGCTGCTATACATGACAAACCAGGCCCTTCTGCTTCCACTGGGAGCAATGCCCTATGCAGATGAAGGGGAGCAAGAGAATTACAAGGTCTAGGAAATTCTGAGGGGCCTGAATTGGGTATGCTAGGAAGAGTCCAGCCAGATCTTGTGCCACAGTGGTGTAATTGGGGAATGGGGCATACTTTAACAGGGTTAAAAAAGAACTAGACAGGTACATGCAGGATAGGTCCATCAATGGCTGTTAGCCAAGATGGGGCGGGAATGGTGTCCCTAGCCTCTGTTTGTCAGAGGCGGGGAATGGGCAACAGAGGAAGGATCACTTGAGGATTATCTATTCTGTTTATTTCCTCTAGGGCACCTGGCATTTGCCACTGTCAGAAGACAGGATACTGAGCTAGATGGACCTTTAATCTGACTCTGTATGGTCATTCTTATGTTTTTATGAAACTGGTAGAGCAGGGAGAGTGTATGGACAGGCTTTGTCCATCCTTTCACAAATAATAATGGTACTGTTCATAAGAATTTGGAAAACTTTTCCCCTAAGCCTGCCAAATTCAATCTCATTGGTACCTTTATCATAAGAAGCTACCTATCTCCTGTAGAGAGGTCCCAGATCGCCTAACTCCTCTGTCACAGAACTGGCTTGGCCTTTGGGTAACCAGATACATTTGGATCCTGAGTCCACCTGAAATAGATCCTATGATCCTTAGATTCTACCAGTATAACAGGCATCTCTCGGTGCATCTCCTTAGCCTCTTGATCCTCCCTGCTGGCAGTTCTGAGCCCTCACAACTATATCACAAAGGGATTCATTGCTGACCCCGAGAACTTTTAAGGCTCACTAGGGAAGCAAATGCCCAGGAGCCAATCTAGTTCATGCTAAAATAAGCATGTTTTCCACCAATTGTTATTTTTTTCTCAGCCTTGCTATATTGTAATTTAAGACCTTTAATTCCCCAGCATTACTTGCTAGTCTTGGTTATCTTAAACTCTGCCACCTGTCCATAAAACAGGGTAATTCTAATTAGGTTACCTTTCTTACCTTTCATAGCCACCTCTCCCCAGACTGAAACCAGGGCCTGAACATTGACCTCAAACCAGATGGCAGGCCATTTGTGCGAAGACTTCCTCTGTGACATACAGATAATATTCAAGTGCTTGGAGCACAGGATACTTGAAGTCTTAAGTAATTTGCATCTGTAGTCCATGTGTTTTTGCAAATTTGTACAGGTAAGTGGTGTCTGATCATCTTGATTTCTACTCAGTGGAGCACAGAACCTAAACCAGACAGGCCACCAGAATGCTCTGGGATGGAAGAGAACTATTTGCACCATGTGTGTTGTTACAGTGGCAGATTATGTCCATGGTGGCAAAGGAGACTGACACAGTGCTTAACATGCCTTGAGACATGTCTATTTCAAAAGATGTTTGGCATGGATACACATCACTAGCAGCACTAGTATAGAAGAGAGGTTACAGGTGTGGTAGGGAGACTCTCACAAGATCATGGTAAATTTTCCTAAGTATTCCTGATGATTGTAGGATTGCATCTTGGAATTGCTTTTTTAGGAACAGCTTTGTTGTGAGTGAAACTTGAAGGATAGCAAAATGCTGGAAAACTCCATTACACTTGAACCAATCCCATAGCATTTAATGTGCATCAGCATCCTGTAACCAAGACTAGCAAGATAAGTTTTTAATCTCTGAAAACTGGATCTTTATAACAAGTTACCTGACTAATTGTATCTTATTGAATGCAGTATTTTGAAGTGGAGTGACCTGAAACATCCAATTCAAAAACAAAAATATGATCTTTGTTCTTGTATATTTTTGTAATGATTTGTGGTCTTTGGAATTTCATGGGGTATCTATACAAGGTAGTGTTGATAATGGATCTTTTAGATATCTACAGCTACAAGCCAGTTAATGTGTGTCTTTGTGAAACATTCAAATTCAGCGTAATACAGGCAGTCCCCGACTTACGCGGATCCGACTTATGTCGGATCCGCACTTACGAACGGGGCTTTTCTCGCCCCGGAGCTCACGGGCGGCGAGTCACCGCCCGTGTCCTCTGGGGCGAGAAAAGCTTCTCCCGGGCTCCCTGGTCTTCTGGGGGGGCCAGCACA